ACACACAAATACACACACACAAACAAACAAGCCGCAATATACGAATAAATAAATATTTCTTTTAAATTAAGTATTTCTACAAAAAAGCAGCAATATATTGTGTAATTTAATAACACCCACACACACACACACACAAATGCACACACACACACGCTCAAACAAACAAACAAGACGCAATATACGAGTCAAAGTAAATATTTCTTTAAAATCTGGTAAAACAAAATATACAAAACAAACGGCAAAATATTGTGTGATATTCCATAAATTTTTCCTGGGTGAATTTTCGGGGATATTTTTTTATTAACATCATGTTTGTTGACTTCCGGGAGTCCTAGTTTCAGATCTAAGCTTTATGCGTACACTGATTCCTGATGAACCGCACTTTTTCTGTGGTCTTCGTGTTCCTCTTATACATGATACTGTTGTATTGGACGCAGAGTAATTTTCTGGTGCATTGTTTTGGAAAAAATTCACGTCTAATAGGCTAGCAAATACGTTATATATATATATATATATATACATACACACACACACACACATATACACACACACATATATATATATATGTGCGTGTCTGTGTCTATATACGTATGTGTATGTGTGTGTGTGTGTGCGTGCGTGTGCATGTATCTTTTTCTATTTATACAGATTTGGTTAAAGTCCAGAGAAAGTTAATTTATTTTTCTATATTTGGAACCAACTTGCTGGTTTCTGGTGAAAGTTAAAATATGAATTTAAGTGCAGTACTAGATTGGCGGCAAGGTCTAACCAATTCACAGTCGAACTGGCTAGATATAACCGTAAGTTCTATGCTAACAGTTTCTTTTCTCGCACTTCTTACTTGTGGGACTTTCTTCCGGCTTCATGCTTCCCAGCCTATTTTGATCTTCAAAAATTTAAATGCAATGTCAATCGTTATCATTAGATTAATTTTTGAGGCATTGAATGTGATCAACCCGCTTTCCCCCTTACTGAGCTGTTAAAGCTAGGTCAGAGGAGAGATCAGCTTTTTAGTTCTGGTAAGCTTGACTGATTGATTCGTTTTCTACAGCCTATCAACCATTTTCAGGTTATTTAAAGCCAGGAAATATTTTTAGATTGGAGATTATTGTTGGAGCGAGATAATAATGATTTAATGATATAAGTCTTACTAATCAACCCATAGCTGGGGGTAGAGAAGAGGTGGATTCATACTTTTCCCAAAGGTATTTGCGGGTAAGTGAATACAAGGAACCTAAAGGGAATTGGAACTCGGTGCTCCGATAAACAATTTTACATCACCCGCACATCCAAGCATACAACACCTGTTATTTCCAAATGATCACCCATCTAGGCACTAATCAGGCCCGACGTTGCTTGCTTAACCGGTATATCAACGTGATGTAGCCGTAAGTACTCTGGTCATCTATAGTTTTGTAGGTGAACCCATAAACCGTTGGATCATCAGCATAGATATTCACAAGTGATCGGATTATACTCTTAGGCAGATCATTTATGAAGAAGTAGAAAGATAATTGAAACATCGATCGCTTTTAATCTCGAAACGAAACACATATTCAGTGTGGTGTGTTGTAATTTTATTTTTCTGTTCGCCTATAAAGACGAGACGAAAGAGAAATATCGTTTTCTACAAATGGATTTAAGTGTTTCGATAAGGAATTCTGTAGAACTAGAAAATATATAGTTACGTAGTATTTGTTACGAACAAGGTAAGAAAATCGGAACCATTCCTAACCAGAGTCGGTGCGTCTTACCCCTGAAATCCCCGATTGAGTAGGGGGGAGTCTCCGTTGTGTGCTCTCCCATTTTTTTCAGCACTGTTTTATGACCATCCACCATTTTTTAAAATTATTTTAAACTGAGGTTATATTGTCAGTCCCCAACTAATAGTATATATCGTGTACCTGTATAGCTGGTGTGGTGCGTATTACACAGGAACTATCAACGAAGTTGGAGCCCTAAAAACCCCTAATCGACCTTAATTTTTCCGTCAAACGATCGGTAAAACAGTAAATACATCAATTCTTGTCATGCATTAACATGCATTTTTTTTTTTTAAAGAAAATTCAGTTTGTCAGGGATGTTTGTTCATGTATTGTGTTGGAATCTTTGTAAAAAATTTCTTCAGCGTCGTGAATATGGCAATAAAGATGATCACAAGAGTCCGGACAGTTTAAATAGTTTAAACAGTTACAATACCTCATCTCAGAAGTATTGACAGATATTGTTATACGAATATTCAAGTAATCTTTTTGGAAGTTTGTCTTTTAATTATAATAATTTAGATTTTTTTACTGCCGAAATTAGAAGTGTTATAGTTAGAAAGTAGTTTGTTTAATAATTATATTTGTATTGGAGATTTTTCTACGCTACTTGGGAGAATTTTCTACGTTTCTTCTTCGCACAAGGAAAAAAATCCCCTTCCCCGCACAAAAAATATCCAGTTTTGTACGTTTAGGCGCAGCCATTTAGACGCTGGCGTTTTGACGCGGCCGTTTGGGCGCCAGACTTGTGGACGCTAGGAAAAATGTTAATTGTTTCATTATCATTCAAAGGTAAAACTTTAAAAAGTTTTAAAACGCCAGCGAACAAACGGCTGCGCCCAAATCGTCCCCCTCCGCCAAATCTCATATTAGGTTGAGTCATAAGTAAATTCCGTTTTTGCGAACCAATTATAATGACGAATGCATCACCCTAACAGTGGCAGTTTTAAATAAATTTGGAGTACACTAGTAGACGACTTTATTGAATGCCGAAGACAATGGATTGACAAAGATAAATCTCCAAAACCGGCCCTAAAAGCTGAGCTCCATCTAGGAAATGTAACGTTGTGCGTGCTGTGGGATCGTCAGGTTTAGACTTTTTAAAATGCAATAAAACACTAAATGCACATTTATTCATCCAACAGCTGCAATGTGTCCATAAATATTTTAGCAAAATTGTCCTGCACTCGTCAATAGAAAAAAGTTTTTTTCCTCAATGAGATTGCTAGACCACATTCAGCAAAACATAGGAAAACAATTTTTTAACTTGGTTGGTCTGTTCTGCTCTAGTCACCATATTCACCTGGCCTTGCACCAATTAATTATTACTTATATTGATCGCTGCAAAACGCTTTGATGACAAAAATAATCTAATGAAAACCAGACTCAAGCATTCCTCGAAAAGTTTTTCACATTAAAGCAGAGTTTTATTAAAAAGATATCGAAAAACTGTATAAGTGTCAACAAGTCATTTATATAAATAAATCGCAATGTACGTGTGTCTGTCCGTTTATTTGACCTCGGCGAATCATAAACAACAGGAAGTAACTGGTAGTATCTACTGTAGTTACACGCGATTAAAAATTAAATAAATAACTCATTTAAAGTTAAATTTAAATATCGAACAGAGTGAAAAGTTTTAAAAACAATTCTTTATTTTTCAATTCTAATTTCGCTTTTAATTAAACCGTAATTAAAAATTAAGCAGGTCACGGTACGTTGCTCATATGTTTTTCTTTTTTCTAGCACGCGTACTGTGACGTATTCAAAATATTACATAGTTCGTGTTCACTGTCTTTTAAGAGTGGCTTTATGTGAAGGGATAATAAGGAACGGTGATTTTAAAAGAAAATAAAAATTGCGCTCAATATAAATGTAAACAAACTATGGAGATCTGTTGCGTATACGAAGAAAGATTAATCCGAATTAAGGTGTCGAATAAAGATAAAATAATTTTATTATTTCTAAATTCTTATAACTTTTGCGTAAATAGGATGCTGAAAGTAAAAGGATGAAGGCCCAAAATCTCTCCACAGGAGGTAGCTTAAAGTCAGCCCGAAGGTCGGGTTCTCGGTTAGTTGAAAATAATGGTGGACATATATATATATATAGAATTGAATGAAATCTAACTGTACATAATTTTTTGAAGAATAAATTTGATAAAGAAAAAAGGAAATTATTTATGACTCAAACTAATATTACAAAGCCGGGCTGTTTTATTTTATGTGTCGTGTCTCTTCAGGATGTGGCCGATTATAGTTCTCCACAACTTCATTTTTTGTTGCTCTAAATAACATTTCACCATTTATCATTCCACTTTGCCATTACTCTCCGATACTATTTCTGTTTTAAGTATAAGTTTTCTTGAAGTTCTTATTTTCCTTGATAAGTTTTATCTGAATTGATGGCATTACAATGAGAAAAGGGGGTGATAAAAAGTGAAAAGTTATTTCGAGTTAAAAAATTAACGGAAGTTATGGAGAGCCATGATCGCTTATAAAAAGAGAAGAGAGTATAGTTTAAGAAAGCTAGAGAGTACTGCAACCGAAGCATCAAGATATTAAGAACAAAGATGAAAAGAAAAAAAACGTAAAAAAAAAACTTTATGGTTCACTAATTTATTTATTCGTATACGTTCGTCTTTTCAATTTCTCGATATGATTCCAGTTCAAAACAACTCCTAAAGAAACGATATTATATACGTGAACACTTCAAATAAATGTGTCTGTTTATCTCAATTGACATCTGACGTATCTTGGTGAGATATTGGATGGGAATTCTAATAACTTCCAGTTTGTTTGGTTACCTGCTGTAGGTGAGTTTTCGTTCTTTAATTTACACAGATACATCCCCCTTCTATCTATTCACACACACACACAAAAAGGTTCCAATCTGTGGTTATCTATGCCAGGGGAATTTTGTTCATCTGGGGGAAACCACAGGGTTGAAAGATAGGATAAGAGAATTTCAGGAAAAGGTAGAGATTAGAATAGGCGGAGAAGTTCAGAGCATGCTAAAGGGGGAAATAATAATAAAAAATAAAACCAGGAAGAAAATTCCTACCAGATACATGGCTGGGGTTGTGGAGGGTTAATGACGAGTTTTGTCTTTCGCGGTAATTTATAAAAGAATGAAGACAAAAAAAAAAAAAAAAGAAAAAAAAAGAAAAATGAAGAGAATATGGTTGAAAGATATAAAATAAAAACATGTGGAGGAGGGGAGCATTAAATGAGAAAATTAATATGACGAAAAAGGAAGGATAAAAATGAAATTTAGTAAAGTAAAAAAGAAGAAGTAAAAAGAAAGAAAGACTACTTGAGAATGGGAGAAGTAAAAATGAGAAGGTCGAAGTAAATGTGTAAAAAGTGAGGTGGAGGTGGTGGTGGTGGAATGAAATAAAAAAGAAAGAAAGAACGTACAGACATTAAACAGAAAGAGGATGGAGTGACGAAAAATATGCAGAAAAAGAGAGAAAATTAAAAAGAAAAAAAGAAAGAAAGAAAGAACTACAAAGATTAAGAAGAAAAGAGGATGAGGTGAAGAAGAAAAATAAATATGTAGGAAAAAGGAAGAATGATCAAAAGGAAAAACAGAAAGAGGGGGCGGAGAAAAATGTAAAGCAAAAAGGAAGTATAATTAAGATAGAAAGAAAGAATGAGAATTAAACATAAAGAAGAAGTGACGAAGAAGAAATATATAGAAAAAAAGAGAAAGAAAGAAAGAAAGAAAGGGATATTCATGACAATTAGAGGAAGAGACAAGAATTAAGTGAAAAGAGAGCGAGAGAATTTAAGAAAAGAAATGAAGTAAGAAAGCGATCAGAAAGAAATTGAGAGAAATGGATAAAAAGGGGGAGAAGTCGAGATATACAGTCTGTCCCTAAAGTCTGAACACATAGGTAATCTCATTAAGTATATTTTTTTTACCTTCACAGATTAAACATGGTTTTGTCGAAAGAATTGACTTTTTTTTCTGGACCATGCTAAACAGAGAAGGCGCACCCAATGAAAATCATAGATGCAACACTCTTGATTGAACGCATAAAGAGTGACTGTGCTAAAATTGAGGGCAAAGTGCGGTTATTGCATCGAATATGAATCTTGCAAAGCGCATCAACCTTTGCATCACAAATGAGGGAAAATTATATTTGCTAATATTCGAATTCAATAAAATGTTTTTGAAAATGTAATTTCTTGCAAATATGCATTTTTGTCTGTGTCCAGTCTTTAGGGATACCCTGTATAATAGTAAAAGGAGTAGTAAAAAAGAAAGACAAAGAGAGGAAGAGAAAATTTATGAATAGATATGGAGAAATATAATAAAGGTATATACAGAGTGCGATGGGCAAATTGTCGCCATTTTTTTTTAAAATTTCACGCAGGCGCGTTGTTTATTTTTGATTTTATCGACTGCATAGCATAGTAGGGTCAGTTACGAACATTTCAGAGTGTTTGGGTGTCAATCTGAGGACAGTGCAGCGGATTCGAAAAGAGTTGAATGAGCCTAATGGTGATTACGAATGTACTTGGATTGATCACTAGTGATGGAGACGTTATGCCTTCATTCATCTTTCCACAGGGCCCCAGTCTCAACACGGAGGCCTACATCAATTGCCTTTAGGAGGTAGTGCTGCCCTGGGTCAAAAGGGTGTGTTTTAGAAGACCCTATGTCTGGCAACAGGACTCTGCGCCATGCTACTCAAGCAGGAGAAACCAGCCATGGCTGTCAAACAATTTCTGTGGCCGCATCACCCTTATATCTGGCCACCTAACTCCCCAGACTGAAATACCCTTGATTATTATGTGTGGAGTGCAGTTGAGCGCGTGACCCGCAAAACTCCTTGTAACACCAAAGATTAACTGATGGCAAGGATTATGGCAGCATTCAGCAACTTAAAGGAGATCGCCCAGAAGAATTGTAGGAAATTCTGAAGTTGTCTGGAGTACGTGGTTGAAACCAATGGGGATTTTATTGAATAAATCTACTCTTTAGTATTTCAAGATATTCTTGAGTAATTTTTGTAAATATATCTGTTAAAATGAGATGTCAGTGTTATTTACATTTTTTTTTTTTTTTTTTTTTTGCGTAATTTACACGACAATTTATCCATCGCACCCTGTAAATATGAAAAAAGAAAGATAAAATAAAATATAAGTGTTGGAGGCAGAGGAGTAGGAAGAGATAAAGAGTTCAGACATGACAGAAAGAAATATAGAAAGAAAGAAATATTAAAAGGAATTCTTCCGTTGATTTACAAATATTTACCGTTTTTGTTTATCAAATTTATCTTTCAAAGAATTTACAATTACATTTTAGATATCTACCATTATTTGCAATGAGTTGTTGCCACTTATAAGGCAGCTTTTCTATATCTTTTGAGTAAATTGTAGTTTTCCTTATCGTAGCATTTTGCAGCGATCGTAAATCTTAATAACCGGTTGGTGCAAAGTCAGGTGAATATGGCGGGTGGAATAGAAAACTGAGTTCCCAAAATGTTTTCTCACCTTATTCTTGCTGAATGCGACCTTGCATTGTCATGGAGGTGAAAAACATTTTCCTGTTGAAGGACAATTTTCGGTCAAATATTTATGGACACATTGCAGCTTCTAGACAAATAAATGGACATTTAGTGCTTCACTGGATTTTAAGAACTCTAAATGAATAATATCCCGATGATCCCACCACATGCATAATGTTAACTTTCTTCAATGAAACTCAACTTTTGGAATCAATTTTGGAGATTTATCCTTGCCAGTTCACTGTCTTTTGTGTTGAATACTGTCGTATGTAACCTGTTTTTCATTACTTGTCATGATATATTTAAGGAACGGTTAGTTATAGTGATACATTAGTCATCAAAACTGGGTCTCCAAAAACGGAAATTACTTATGATTCAATCTAAGAGATAGAGGAAACTATGAAAAAGGTATAAAAGAAGAGATAGATAGATAGATAGATAGATAGAGAGAAAGAAAGAAAGAGAGAAAGAAAGAAAGAAAGAGAGAGAGAGAGAGAAAGTGTGTATGTATGTGTGTGTGTGTCTGTGTGTTTTGTGATGTTTTTAAGAGCATTCAGTGGTATTCACAAATCCCTGAATGCATTTACGAATATAACAAGTCACGATGGAGTAATGGATAGCGGTTGAGATTGAGAAATCAGTGTTCAAATTCCAGTCAAGGTCATTACATTCACTTACGTGCTTGGAAATCAGGTATGAATCCATATCTTTTACCGCCAGTTATGGGTAAATAGCAGGACAGACTTTGAATATTGCTACCACATATGGTCCGGTGCGCCTGCTGTATACTTAGAGATTCTTGATAAAATTCAAAAAATAAACTGCAGTGTTATTAATCATGACCTGGCATCTCGTCTTCAATCATTTCCCACCGCCGTAATGTAGCTTGCCTCTGCCTTTTATGCCTTTTCTATAAATACTTTCATGGTAATTGTTCTGATGAATTTTCTTCCATGGTACCTAGACTTTATGAATTTAAGCGCAGTACTATATTGGCGGCAAATTCTCATCGTTTTCCAGTTAAAATTGCTAGATGCAACCGTAAGCTCTATGCTAACAGTTACTTTTATCGCACTTCTCACTTGTGGAACTCTATTCAAGCTTCTTGCTTCTCAGTCAACTTTGATTTTCAAAAATTTAAATGTCATGTCAATCTTTATCTACTGTCTTCCTAATTATTAATAGTGTTTTTTTTCCCTCATATTATCTCACACTCAGTATTCCCTTGCGTTTCAGTTGCTTTGTTGCCTTTCTTGGGATGAAGTGATCAAAAAATACAGATGGTGTAATAGAATTTCAGGAAGGGAAATCGGCGTAGTGAGTTCGAATTCCGGTCGAGTTCGTTTCGCAGAAATACCATCGAGAAAGGTATGAATCCATCTCTACTCCCTCCTCCTGGACATACTGACCTATCTAGCTGTGGTTGACAATAAGTAGAGAAGGACAACTGTGAATCCAAAAACCGTACGTGGTTCCGATGTGACACATCTGAACTGTAATAACTAATGTCCGTTCAACATGGTTGCAGTATAAACCACAGGTTGTCTCTATGGGTGTTGATGAAACACAAATAGGCCTTAGCAGATGGGCATACTCGGTAATGAGCAGTCATCTCGAAGATGAGACATCCCACTGATTTTCTGTGTACCTTCAAGTTGAAACAACTCTGATAATGATTTGTTTTGTAAAAAAAAAATGAAAATAAGCAGTATGCATGTTTTTTGATTTTTAATTAGCACTCAGTCTTAACATGGGGTTTATATGTCAGCATCTGCAAAAGCATAACTAAGAACTATAGGGAACATTCTGATCTCTTGAATTATCGTCCTTTTCATCTTTTACCAGATTTTAGCAATGTACAAGAGGTTTTAATCAATACCAAATTGGTTAAGCATCTCACTTCACACGGCTTTCTTTCAGATAAACAATATGCCTTTCGTTTCTCTAGGTCAACCGTCGATGATATTTTTAACCGTTTCACCCCAAGCAAGACGTTAATGTTACTAAGACAGACGCAAGGGGCTACTGTGAGTAAAAGAGAATGAGAAGACTTTCGGAGAAGGAAATGGAAACCCAATACTAAACAGGAAACGAGGGATAAAACTTTACTCCTGTTCCGAAGACAGGGAAATTGTATAGGTCGTGTTGAATGGCCTCGATTCCAGATCATAACACATTAGAGTGGGGGACCTCATGACTCTATCATTGGACCTACATTGTTTTTTTATCTCCTTCAATAGTCATCTTCATATTTCTGATGACATCAATTTCAAATTAAGTATATGCTAAAGACAGTTATTTTTTCTACCTAAATAGTAAATATGATAAAGTAAAACTAGCAGCTGGGGTCGAAAATATCCCCCAATCACTTAGCTGGGGGAAGAAATGGCTTATAAATTCTAACAGCACCAGAATAAAACTGCTATTTTTTAGTACTATTTTGTCTTCCATCAGATTGTCTGATGGTAACTCTCAGGAGATCAACTCATTGCGCCTTCTTGGTCTCACGTTTTTCACTGACATGAAGTGGAATGATTATATTAAATCAATTGCTAAGTCTGATGCTAGGAAGGTTAGTTTGTCGTTCTCGCTAGAATCCATCTTGCACGGTTATAAATCTCCCATTCGTCCGTCTATTGGATATTGCTAACATATCTAGTTTGGTGCTCCTGCTATATATTTCGAGATTCTCGACAAAATCCAAAGATCTGCAATGTTATCGGTCCTGGCCTGGCATCTCGTCTTCAGTGACGTTCCCACCGCCGTAACATGATTTACTTGTGTTTATTTTCTATAAATATTTTCAAATGTTACTCTAATAAGCTTTTCTCCTTGGTATCTTAACCACCTGAAATATAGCGTACTTCCAAATTGGCAACTAAGTCTCATCGGCTTACTGTTTAAATAGCTACATATAACCGTGATTTCTATTCTAATATTTTTTATAGACTGTTGAACTCTCTTCCGTTTCCCTATAGCGCACGATCTTTGTTATATAGGAAATAAAGTGTCGCTGTCGACATTTGTGTTTGAACATAGATCGCCAGTGAGCAAACACAGGCAATCCCATCATTAAATTAAGCAGACCACGTGACCATATAGGAAACGCATAAGTAGGAAGCCGCGTGACGTCTTACTGGTCGCATTTCTATTCTATCCGCTGTACTATACGGATCATCATTTCTACTCTATCCTCTATTACTATACGGACCGATGTTTTCTATTCAATTCACTATATTATTTCTCTTTTTGGAACACTATATGGATTACTATTCGAGTGAGTATTATCGAGCAGTACTATTAGCGCGAGTGCTATTCGAAGGCATCTGACACCAGTATTGTTCAACGGTGTACTATAGTTGTATCTGCGATTACACAGTCTCTACTACAACGAGCATTACGAAAGTGGCAACGAGTATTCGTTGACATCCCAAAAGTTTTGAAAAATTTAAATGCAACGTTAATCACCATCTTCTTCATGAAACCTGTTCTTTCATTGTCCTTCCCCTTCACTAAAGTTTCCTCTTTTTCTTTCCCTCTCTGTTACCCCGGGCGTCTTAGTGACATTATCGCCTTGTATTGGGTAAGAAAAAAAAAAAAAATCCATGTTTCTGATTTTAATAATTACTTCTCAATCAAAACATATTACAGTTAATATATCAGTAACAACAAAAGAACAGTTTTAAAATTAATAATTTAACACGTCGGTAAGTTATATTGTGTGGACATAGAGGGGTCTGGATAGATGTAGTATCTTTGATGTCTGGCACGCTACACCATCGGGTGGATGGGCATCACTGGTCTTTCTTCAACCAGCTGCTAAATCTCTCACGTGATAGTTCAAAGTTGCCATACCCGGTAAACCGTTTAGCGGGCTAAACTCGCGTGAGGGTGGTGGTATTAACACGGTACCACTGGTCGAAGGATCTCCTCGACGTAGGTGACCGGACAGGGCGGAAGCGTTCCTTAGATGAAGTACAAGGGCCACGTATTAGCGACAAAATGCGAACCACCTAGTTGGAGGACATCGTCTGTGGTATAACCTGGAGAGAGATGGGCCCCGCCAAGTTAAAATGCCCAAGACAGGCCACACCAAGAAACCATTCGAGGAAACCCAGGCTCTGGCACACGACCACGACAGGTGGAAGGGGAATGATGGACAACTCAACACGTCGGCGCCCCAATAAGAACTTCCGGGATTAAGGGCGAAAAAAAGAAAAAAGATATTAGCTGAAAAATAATAGAATACTTTCATACTTTCTTCTGTTCTTCTGCACCACGGATCAATGTAGAGTACCTGCCAGATCTCCTTCCCCTCCCTTCCCGCCTCCTAAGCAGGAATCAGTTTATGCTTTCTGAGCGAGAAACTTGCATAATGATAATAAAGCGGAACAAGCGAGGAAATAGAGTGTGAATGAGGGAAAGTAGGAGGCAAGAATGCGTGAGAAAAACTATATACAGAGAGAGAGAGAGAGAGAGAGAGAGAGAGAGGGGGTGGGGAAGGGATGGAGACGAAAGAAAGAAAAAAGCAAGAATAACTTGTTAATTGATATTAAAAGACTCTGAGCAAACGATGGGATGACAGGTAGCGATGAAAAGGCGTCTTGCGATACATTTAAAATTCTTTAAGGTGAGATAGTGCAAGAGATAGATTCAGAAGAAAATATTTATGTTTTCTTTATTTCATTTCCATATATGAAACTAATCCATGTTTGTACAACATTTAGATAAAATCGTGGATGCGCAAAGAAGATAGGAAAAAATAAGGGAGAGAATGAGAGAAGAGACGAGGCATGAGATAAAAGATCGTCTTAGTTTTCAACATCTGTGGAATTTCAGCGACTAAAGAATTAATGTCATGATATCTGTGAATGTTTCTGTCATATTTGTAGGATAATTCTTTTCGTTTGTTTATACAAAATTGCATACGTAGTTATCAGCGGATCTTTCAAAACGTAAGCAAAATAGTAAGAAACAGAAAAATTTCGTTAGAAACAAAGAAATTGATACCAAAACATCACGTAAGATCTGTCTTTCATTATGGCAGTGGTTGCTGTACAATCTCCCCACAGATGAAGAAGAGACTTGAAGCAACAGAAATCTGGTTCTACAGCGAACAACAGCGACAGTTTAAAGAAAATGCCAGGTGTTGAAAATTGGATGTGCGTATGGTGTAATGGATAATGGGCCGAATTGGCAATCGGAAAGGCGAGTTCCAATTCTAGTTGGGTTCGTTATATTCACTCACGAGCAAATAACCTTGGGAAAGGTATGAATCCACCTATTCTCCTCCCAGCTATGGGTTAATTAGTAAGATTTGTATCAGTAAATCATTATTATCTTAAAAACTCTCTTACAATATTTTCTGGCTTTAAATAACCTAAAAACATTGATAAGAAAAAAAAAGAGAAAGTGGAAACAAGAAGGACTCTTAAGTTGTATTTTAGGCGATTTTGTCAGCAACACAACATTTGCATTTGCAGGAAATAGTGGAAGGTCGTTAACCTCCCTGGCGTTGTTTCC